GGGGGGGGAGATGTGGAATCTGGTGTCCTGGTTGTACAGATGTAATCTGCAGTCCTGTGAAAGGCAATGGGATCTGGTGTCCTGCCTGCACAAATGTGACCCAGAACCCAGTGTAGATTCATGCATCTGGTGGGATCTGGTGTCCTGGTTGCACACATGTGATCTAGTGTCCTGTAAAAGACGCAGGAGTCTCATGGGATCTGGTATCCCGGCTGTACAGATATGATGTAGAGCTCTCTGTAGATACTGGCATCTGATGGGGGTCTGCTGTCCTGGTTGAACAGAAGTGATCTAGAATCCTGTAAATGGCACTGCGATCTGATGAGATTTGCTGTCCTGGTTGCACAGATGTGAGCTATAGTCATGTACAGGCATTGGTACTGCCATCCTAGTTGCCCAGATGTTATCTAGAGTCCTTTCTAGGCACACTGATGTGATGGGATCTGCTCTCCTGGTTACATATTTGGGATCTAGAGTCATGTACAGGCACGTCTGATGGGATCAGTTGAGTTGGATGTGCATTGGATGTGCAGTGGAGATCTAGAGTAGAGTTCTGTATAGGAACAGGGATCTTCAGTCCTAGTTGTGCAGATGAGATCTAAAGTTGGATATATAAGGGGATCTGATCTAAAGTTAGATGTATAAGGGGATTTGATTTAAAGTTGGATATATAAGGGAATTTGCTGTCCTGGTTGCAGAGTTGTGTCCTGTACATGCACAGAAATCCGATTCAGAGCTGGACAGATCTGCTCCTGTATTCTAAACTGATCTGCCCATCTCTGGTCTGATGTCAAGGCTTCAGAAATGTAAACCCATTGCTTGCCTTGGGTGCACAGATGTGATCCTGTACATCCCCAGGGGGATCTAATGGGATTTATTGCCCTGGCTTCACAGATGTGATCATTGTCTTGTATGGGAGCCGGGATGATGACTCTTCAGGATCTGATGGGATCTTATACCCTGGCTGCAGGAAAATGTTTATAATTTGGGTGGGCACAAGAAACTCAGGATCTGATGTCCTGAGGATATATTCCCATATTGATACAAGTGGATGTATGTATTGAGTCGATTAGATGGGCACAGAGAACTCGGGATCCGATGTCCTGAGGATATATTCCCATATCGATACTGGTGCATGTATGTATTCAGTTGCTTGGGTGGGCACAGAGGACTCGGGATCTGATGTCCTGATTATATCCTCCCTTATAGATAGTGGTGGATGTATGTGTTGAGTCGCTTGGGTGGGCACAGAGGACTCAGGATCTGATGTCCTGATGATATCCTCCCTTATAGATAGTGGTGGATGTATGTGTTGAGTCGCTTGGGTGGGCACAGAGGACTCAGGATCTGATGTCCTGATGATATACTCCCTTATAGATAGTGGTGGATGTATGTGTTGAGTCGCTTGGGTGGGCACAGAGGACTCAGGATCTGATGTCCTGATGATATACTCCCATATAGATACTGGTGGATATATGTATTGAGTCGCTTGGGTGATGTCCTGATGATATACCCCATATAGATACTGGTGGATGTATGTGTTGAGTCACTTGGGTGGACACAGAGCTGATGGATGTGCTAGGGATCTTACTGAATCCTACCGGAGTGCATATGTGATTGGTGACTTGTATAAGGAATGGGGTGTTGAATGTGTTCTAACATATACCAAAGAGGAGATCTGTATCTTGACAGTACAAATATGATCCTGTATGAATGCAGAGTGATAGATGTTTTTGGGGTCTGATAAGATTTTTAGCTGTGAGAAACATAGGGAGGGTGGCTCGTGAGTTAGATGAATGTATATATGTTCATTTATAAATATGTAAACATGTAATGCTTTTTAAAGAGTGCATATGTATGTGTGTGTGTATATGTATGTGTGTGTGTATATGTATGTATGTGTGTGTGTGTGTGTGTGTATATATATATATATATATA